TATGTATATATATATATATATATATATATATATATATATATATATATATATATATATATATATATATGTATATATATATATATATATATATATATGTATATATGTATATATATATATGTATATATGTATATATGTATATATGTATATGTATATATATGTATATATATATATGTATGTATATATATATATATATATTTTTTTTTAGGCTTTTATTTATTTTTATCCTACTTTTATTGTTTCTCTAGTGCTTAAATGCTTTGTGCATTATATTACCTAATCATAATATTGATTATTATTCAATAATATTATTTCTCCCTCTGTTAGCTGTCAAGCGGGAACCCTGTATATGAGAACTTTTACAGACAAGTAAGGCCATAATTCTGTTGACAAACCACATTTAACATTTCTAGACTGTATCATAGTGATCTGTTTTTATAATATATCAATCCTTTTTGGAACAAAAAGCCATATTTCACTCACTTTTTGTGTTTTTTTTTGAAGGTGGACCCGGGAAACACCGGGAGGGTTGGACCTACCGAGGCTGCCTTGTTTTTGAAGAAATCAGGCCTGCCTGACATCACATTAGGAAAGGTTAGTGTTCGGGTAAAACTCGTTGCGAAACGATACTTGGAAATTCATAATCCATAATTACCTGCTTGTCTCTTTTCAGATCTGGGATTTAGCTGATCCGGATGGCAAAGGTTTCTTGGATAAACAGGTAAAGCTATCAGAGTTTGTAAGAGCATCAAATTGGATGCTGACTTGAATCCCTTGTGGTTTGTTTTCAGGGATTTTACGTAGCTCTGCGTCTTGTGGCCTGTGCGCAGAGTGGACACGACATCAGCATTTCCGGTGTACACCTCCCCGTTCCCTCTCCAAAATTCGTAAGTGTCAGTGCTGAGAGCTGATATCATAGTTTTCCAGGCAGCATGAGCTAACAGGATTCTCGTCTCTGTTCTAGAAGGACCACAGTAGCCCATCACTGAGCTCTGTTACGTCAACCAATGAGAGCCACTGGGCGGTGCGGGTAAGATGTTTCCACTGTTTATCCCATGAGCTTCTCATTGTAACTGCGCATTACAAAAGATTTTATGAATATTTATCCTTATGTTTATTTTTCAGCCTGAAGAGAAGAGCAAATTTGATGGTATTTTTGAAAGTCTTGCCCCAGTGAATGGATTACTGTCCGGTGAGAAGGTCAAACCAGTTCTAATAAATTCCAAACTTCCTGTGGATGTGCTTGGAAAGGTAAAATGTCAATAGATTAAGAGATTAAAATTAAGATAATATTTCTATTAAAATATAATTGTTATAATAATAATAAAAATAGTTTTATTAATAATTAAATGTAATTAAAAATACTATTATATTTATAAAAAATAGCATTATTAAATGACTCTGTCTGAACAGGTGTGGGATTTGAGTGACATAGACAAAGACGGACACTTGGACAAAGATGAGTTTGCAGTGGTGAGTAATAATTTTTTGTAATATAATAAAATCACACTCAAAATATCTTGCTACATACTATGATTTTAGATTACTGCATGCAGTATGCAATTTTTTGTGTTTGTGAAATGCCTACTAAAAGGTGGCAAAATATGCAGTTTAACTGTGGCATTCTATATCCCACAATGCAATGCGATCCTCTTCACCTTCAATTTTCATTGTGAAGAATGAACCAGAAGAAATAACCGCAATTTATAGTGTCTTCATGACTAAATAATTAAAACGAAATAATTTTTCGAAATAAAAAATAATAATAAAATATGATTCATATTAATATTTATACACAAACAAATCTTACTATATCTATATTTTTAAAAATATATATTTTTTTGCATACTATTTTGTGTGTTTATATTAGAGCCCGACCGATATATCGTTTAGCCGATATTATCGGCCGATATGAGCCTGTCGCCGAGATATCGGTATCAGCAAATAAGCCGCCGATATGAATTTTTTTTTTACAGAACATATAACGCAGATAAAATGCTTGAAATGGTGTAATTACTTAGTTTGTCCAGCAGAGTTTGTCCAGTCCGTGCTCCATTGTTTGCTACTGGCTACCTGGATGAAACGCTTTAAAGCTTAAGTCTATGGAAAACCATTGAAACTTTGAATGGCCATATCTCCGTAAAGGCGTGGCGAATCCACACCAAATTCGGGGGATCCCTTCAGCTCGA